TGTATCAACCTTATCACATGGAAAGTTCCCAAAATGTGTGTTTTTATAATCATATTAGGGATGTGGTGTGGGAACAACTTTCAGTGCATATACTGCAGCAGGAAAAGTGACTATACACAGGGGGAATAGGGGAGATCTTCCAATGGGGAGATGAGAGAAATCTTCCAATGGGGAGATGAGGGTAATCTTCCAATGGGGAGATGGGGGACATTTTTGAATGTGGAGATTGGGGAATATGGGAGATCTTCCAATGAGGAGATGAGGGAAATCTTCCAATGGGGAGGTGATGGAATGGGGGTCATTTTCCAAGGGGGAAATTGGGTAATATAGGAGATCTTCCACTGGGTAGATAAGGGAATAGGGGAAATATTCCAGTGGAGATATTGTGGATAGTGGAAGTCTTTTAGTGTGGAGATGTGGGATTAAGGGAAATCTTTCAGTGGAGAGATGGGGGAATAGGGGAGATCTTCCAATGGAGATATGGGGGAATAGGGGAAGTCTTTTAGTGTGGAGATGTTGGAATAAGGGAAATCTTTCAGTGGGGAGATGGGGGGAATAGGGGAGATCTTCCAATGGGAAGATGGGGGATAGTGGAGATTTTCCAATAAGGAGATGAAGGAATAGGGGAAATCTTCAAATGGGGAGATGTGGGAATAGGGGAGATCTTCCAATGGAGATATGGGGGAATAGGGAAGATCTTCCGATGGGGGAATAGGGGAAATATTCCAATGGGGAGATAGGGGAACAGTGGAAATCTTCCACTGGGGAGATGGGGGAGTAAGGTAATCTTTCAATGGGGAGATGGGGAAATAGGGGAAATCTTGCAATGGGGAGGTGGGGTAATAGGAAAAACATCCCAATTGGGAATAGGGGAAATCTTCCAATGAGGAGGTGGGGTAATAGGGGAAATCTTCTAATGGGGAGATGGGGGAATAGGCAAATAATTTCCAATGGGCAATTGGGGGAATAGAGAAAATCTTCCAATGGGGAGATGAGGGAATGGGGACATTTTCCAATGGGGAGGTGGAGGAATAGGGGAAATCTTCTAATGGGGTGATGGGGGAATAGAGGAAATCTTCCAATTGGCAATAGGGGAAATCTTCTAATGGGGAGGTGGAGGAATAGAGAAAATCTTCCAATTGGGAATAGGGGGAAATCTTCCAATGGGGAGATGGGGGAAATCTTACAATTGTTCTGGTGACTATGAGGGACTACAACCTCACTTTAGAGAGATGTCCTCTTACTTCCTGTTGAGTTTCTGGGACAGGAAGTGAAGGGATAGCTTCCCAACAGGACACAAAGAAAAAAAAAAGTAGTGAAGGGATTTCTAACTCTAAAAAGGTGGCTATTGTGGCCATTGATACATTTTACCTCATAACGAAGAACGGATCTTGGAAATACAATGTGATCAAAGCAGCAATCGCAAGGATGAAGTGAATGATTCCTTTTACACAAAAAACAAATCTGCAGACAGGAGTCAATGGGGAACTTCTGCTACAATACCTCCGAGAGGGGGCAACCAACACTGCAGTTATAATGTATCACTTTACAATAGAAGGCCGGCAATGATTTGTGAACAGCAGGGGGAGTCATCAAAGAAAATTCGGCTCTTTTCCATGACAATGCTTTCCCCATCGTCGTTCCCATCACACAGGGACCTCCAGCTTATTTGCACTTCAAAGTGCTAAAACATTTCACTTTCTTGTCTGATCTAGCACTGCCGCACAAGCGTTTTGTTCCCAATCTAAAAACATAAAAATTAAATGTCAAGAAGCAAAATTAGGGGCCATTTCTGAAATCCACATCTGTTGTTGAGACCAGGTTTGCGGCCCAACAGTGAACACTGGAGAGCAATAGGGAAACTGTGACAGAACGTTGTCACCTATAACAGGAAGTGCTTGAACAAGGACTTCCATGGCAGGATCTCCAGGGATTATTTTAAAGCCCACATCCGGGCTTTGCAAATTCCCTCCCCTGAGGATTCTCCAAGCTGTATATTATGCTTTTTCATTTTTATACTAACCTTTATTGTGGTGCCTTGGGGTCCTCTTCCTCTTCACCTCTTATTTGGGCTGGGCGTTCTTGAACAACATAGGGATGCAACACATTTAATGCAGGGTGCCATGGTGACACCCCCTCAGTGAGCGGGCCCATGACACCCTGTCTCCAATATTTAAGGTTGGGTGATGCTGGGTGCCATTCCACCGGGAAAGCTGAGGACATCTTGTGGTGAAAAGAGAGTACTGCAGGCGTCAGCTCCATGCCATTTGAAATTACATTAACAAGTTGAAGCTCATATAAGTTTATTTATATCTACTTTAATTGGTAAGCAATTAAGTAGGCGGAGCCATCTGCAAGAAGGCTGGATGTTGCAACGGTATTTTCTTCTCAAAAGTAATGGCAAACACACTCATCAATTTGTTACCAGCTCTAAGCAAGGTGCACATGGAAGGGCTCTATGCAGTACCACAGCAAAAAGTTTCCCAGCACACTCACCAGCCAGCATGCAAAAAAACTTGTCTCACCGCTAAGGTTAAAAACAGAGGTTTAGATACACGTCTTCTGCAGAAAATGTGAAAGCCGCACGGTCCTAAGTCTAAACTATGAGAGTCTCCATCATGGAGCACATGTGGCAAATAAAGGCACAGATAGGCTTCCTCCTGACAAACCTGCACCCAATTTGATCTTTTGCCACATGTGCTCCAAGATGGAGACTCTCATAGTTTAGAGTTAGGACCGCACTATAAGAGGTGCCTTGGCGCGGCTGTGCGGCTTTCACATTTTTCGGCAGAAGACGTGTATCTAAAACCTCTGTTTTTAACCTTAGCGGTGAGACAAGTTTTTTTTCCACCCCTCAAAAAAAATATATTCCTTGGTGTTTTTTTGTTGAGTACTTTATTTATTTGGATTACGTCTTTCATTCTGAGGCCTCTGCTGTGCACGGAACATGACCCAAGCAGCATATTTATCATGACTTTGTAACCAGATATTCGCAGGTGTCCAATGACTGCATCTGGTGCTCTGCGTTAGATGACATCATACAGGCTGCAGGTCCGTGAAATCGGGTTTTCTCTGCATGAATCAACCAAATGTGTTTACACCTTGTTAGCTGACTGAGCAGAAAGGCCGCAGCAAGAGATGATCCTACGAGGGGTACACACTAACAATTAGGGGGCTGAGAAGGAAGGAGTACAATACACTCATGATTAAAGTTGATGTAAATCCTAATTAAAAGATGTTTAGTTTGCTCTGGGCACAAGCAATGTGCGGTAGGATCTGCAGCAAGTTAGATAGAGCCCTGTCTAGAGGACATCTAGCATCATCTAGCGCTTTTTCCCCCAGCCTGACTGTCCCTGGCCCCTTACTGTGGTTCCATGTCCATAAACCTCTGCCCATGTAGTGTATCTTTTATTCAGAATAGATGTGCTACTTTGTATCTGCCTAAACTAAAGTTGCTACGGCAACACTCTCAGCCAGTTTCGGCCTTAATGAATTTCCTCGGCGTGTCTGTGAATGTTCTAATTCATCCCAGCGATGGCAGCGATAGTAGTGGCAGTAGGTCAAATTCAACCGGAGGTTTTCTGTAAACTTGAGGTTGTTTCTACGCTTATCCAAGTAGCTTCCTCAGTTCGGAACTGAAGATCCACTAGTATGAGCGTTGAAACGTGATAATGAGCCCAAGTCCAGTTGGATGTGATAATAACCCCAAGTCCAGTTGGATGTGATAATGACTCCAAGTCCATTTGGATGTGATAATGAGCCCAAGTCCAGTTGGATGTGATAATGAGCCCAAGTCCAGTTGGATGTAATAATACGTCTATGTCCAGTTGGATGGAATAATGAGTCCAAGTCAAGTTGGATGTGATAATGAGACCAAGTCCAGTTGGATGTGATAATGAGACCAAGTCCATTTGGATGTGATAATGAGACCAAGTCCAGTTGGATGTGATAATGAGACCAAGTCCAGTTGGATGTGATAATGAGCCCAACTCCAGTTGGATGTGATAATGACACAAAGTCCAGCTGGATGTGATAATGACACAAAGTCCAGCTGGATGTGATAATGAGCCCAAGTCCAGTTGGATGTGATAATAAGTCTATATCCAGTTTGAAGGAATAAAAAGTCCAAGTCCAGTTGGATGTGATAATGTCCAGTTGGATGCGATAAGAACCCCAAGTCCAGTTGGATGTGATAATGACAAAAAGTCCAGATGGATGTGATAATGAGCCCAAGTCCATTTGGATGTGATAATGACTCCAAGTCCAGTTGGATGTGATAATAAGCCCAAGTCCAGTTGGATGTGATAATGAGGCCAAGACCAGTTGGAAGTTATAATGACTCCAAGTCCAGTTGGATGTGACCAACTCCAGCTATTCATAAGCAAAATAAAACAAGTGAAATATCAACAATCAATGAACAAAAAAAAGGAAAGACGTCAGCTAATCGTTATCATCAATTGGTAACATTTTATTTCTTTTACTGGGTTAAACAGGGGACAGAAATCGTCTGCCCAAAGTACAACAGAACAGAAAGCATTACATGTACAGATAAAGGACTATTGAAACACAGACATTATTAGTATTATATTCTTTTTTTGTTTTGTTTTGTTTTAAATACAACTCAATTATAGCATCATTTTTTTAAACCATCTCATAAAATAAAAAGAGGATCTAGTGCAAAAAGGTTCTATAACATTGAGCACAGTGTATAAAACGTCATAAGGAGGAGGTCCTCAGAAGGAGGAAACATCCACCTCGTCCTTATGGCGGAGTCGGAAATGATAATAAAACAAGAGTGGAAGAGGGAGATACAGGTCGGGAACCGACAGAGAAAAAAGTAGAAAGACTGTTAACCATTTCCCAGCTGGATGGAGGGATGGGGGGCGGGGTTCCTCACCGTGGCACCGCTCTGTTAGGCAACATAGGCTCCTAGCCAGCGGGGAAATGGTCAAGAGAGTAGAGTTGTTGTTTTTTTTTAGTTTTTATCGTGTTTATTTTTCATATCAATATTTTTTTTTTGTAAACCTCTCACTTTGTGAAAAGATTCCCCCCCCCCTTTTTTTTAAAAGTCTTACTGTAAAAGACACCTCAAATCCTCACAACATCTTGAGAAGGGTTCAGGCACAAATCAGCCGTCAAGACAGCGCTAGGCAATGTGCATTGTACCATGCCTGGATCTATTGAGCCGCTCTTCCGCTCATCCACCTCCCCAGCAACCCTCAGCCCCTACAGGTTTTTATTGTTCACCCTTCTTTCCCCCTGGCAGCATTGTTTTAACTTCTTGCAATGATGCCGAGTATCAACACACACTTGTAGACTCTACAAACTATCTCAAGAAACTGACCTAGGGCTTCATTCATAAAGGTTCCACCAAGGTCCTTCTCACGGCACTAGTGCCCTTTAACGGCGCTAGTGCCCCTTGATGACGCTAGTGCTCCTTGATGGCACTAGTGCCCCTAGAAGGTGCTAACGAGTAGAGGAACTTTTATACATGAAGCCCTCAAAGTAGATGTAAACCCTATGCAAGTGACTATGTAAGTGGCATTGCTCAGGGCGCATTTCCTAATCGTGACCACAGTGGACCATGTCTGTGTGATGAGTGTTGATATGGCCGACTGTAGTCTCCATCGGAAGCCCATGTGGCAGGGTGACCATGCAGGAGGACAATTGGGAAACAGAGTATTGTCCCCCTATAACGGGAAGTTTCAAGAAACAAGATAAAACTTCATTTCTGGCAGGATCCACAGGCATTTCCTCTATTTGCTATAAAGGACACCACTGATGGGTTTCTTAGAGACCTACTCCATCAGAAGCCCAGTTGACCACATAGGAGCACAGGGATAGAGCTTTGTCACCCCATAACAGGAAGTGTCTGAACAAGGAGGGTCACCAGGTATTATTCTAATGAAACTTCCAGTTTTGAAAATGTTAACAGGTCGTATGAGATTTTATTGGTTGGGATTACATCTACTTCAATGGGGTACATCAGAACAACACTTGTGTGCTTGGAGGGATACAGGTTAGGATGTCAAGGGCTAGTGTGTTCAAGCTTCTGCCTACTTCACGACTAGGCCTGAAAAACAATCCCTCTGTGTTCATTCAGCACAAAACGTACAGTCTGGTGTGAAGTAATACTCAGTATTGCTCAGTATTTGTCTTCTCAGGGGAGAAAGAAATGTCCACAAAGCGGAAGAAGATATTTTGTAGGCTTCCAAAAAAATATGGCTGGAACGTATCAGCTGACCGTTGCATTATTGAGGGGTGTTCATGTTAATTCCTCAACAATGGCAAAGATACGAGAGAAAAAACAGTGGGCTGGGAGCTGGTTTAGTCAAAGCCACCCAACGTTTGACCTGGAAAGACAAGGGAGCTTCACACCCAGAATCCAAGTGTCCAAGAGTCCTATGAGGGACTCAAGGAGACCCCCTTCTAGAATCTGAACATTGGCTACACCTGTAGAATTTTATTGAACAATTGTATTCCTCATTCTTCAACAATGACAAAGATCTTAGAAAAACAGCAGTTGGGAGTTGGTTCAGTCAACCCCATCCAACATTTGGCCTGGAAAGACGGAGGGAGCTCCACACCGAAAAGTAAGAGTTCAAGCATTATTTTTATTCCATGAATATAGTCCAATAAAACTCTATGAATGTAGCCTCCTCAATTGGGCACTCATGGACACCCCTTCATCGGGCCTAGAATTTGAATACTGGCTACACCTACAGAATATTATTGAACTATTTTATACCCCATTCTTCAACAATGGTGAAGATCCTAGAAAAACAAAAGGGAGCTGGTTTAGTCAATGCCACCCAATATTCGACTTGAAAAGACATGAATGGGGTCCAAACCCAAAAGTAAGCGTCCAGAGGGAGTGTAGTCAACTCACTTTGGAGACTCAGGGACACACCTTTCATCACGGCTAGAATGTGACAGCATTGGCTATATATAGAATAGTATTAAACTGTTGTATACCTTAACAGAAGGTTGGGATGGGGTTTAGTCAACACCACCCAACATCTGACCTGGAAAGACAAGGGGAAGCTCCACACCCAAAATTAAGAGGCTAAGAGTCCTATGCTATGCTATGAGTCCAATGAGCATAGCCAACTTCTAGAATTAGAGCATTGGCTGTATATAGAATATTACTGAACTATTTTATACCTCACTCCTAGTCTCAAGATCCTAGAAAAACAAAAGGTTGGGCGTTGGTTTAGTCAATGCCACCCAACATTTGACCTGGAAAGACGGAGGGAGCTCCACACCCACAACTAAGGCTAAGTGTCCAAGACTCCTATGAGTTCAATAAGTATAGCCAACTTCTAGAATCGGAGCATTGGCCACACCGATAGAATTTGATTGGAATGAATGAATTGCCTGGACTCTTAATTTCTGGTTCCACTCTGAAGCATTTCCTTAAAACCTCCTGCCCAGTTTTAATGCACCTCAATGCATTCAACTGCATTTCAGGATCGAAAATGCTCCCAAGCTCACGCAATCCAGCCAATTGTGGGCAAAACCCCAGCCGCTTTCACAAGGTCTCATTCTCTTGCAGGTCTGGAATTTATGACCGCTCCACCAAAACCGAAATATTCGTGAGCTACAAAATAATGGCCTCCGCTGTGTAGTGTTTCTTGCCAGGTACACTTTAATGTACTTCATCATCCGGACCCTCAGACCTTTCCCTGACATGGCAGGGGACATGACTACGCATGTGCAAAGCCACATTTACACCAAAATGACTTTGGTTTACTTTGTATATCCTTTGTGCACACTGATGGCTCGAGAGGCCTCTTTTTTTTTTGCATACGTTAAAATATATACATGATACGTCCTCTGACAATACAAGATGCATTGCCTCCTGTTATTAAATCGCGCTGGCTGCTTGTGAACAAATTCTTCCTAATCCTTAAGGAAAGCAGACTAGGGAAGACATAGCATCGTACAGTAATGGCACAGGGTGGCCTTGTGTAAGCACTTGAAAGTTCCACACGTCTGCCTAGAGCTGAAACATGGTTATGCATTACTTTGTGAGACCTCGTAATGTCAAGCAAGTGGTACCTGATCCTGTAGAGAGAACATCTAGAATCACCGCCAATGTTGTTCTTACCAATAGTCATGGTACTCACTTGTGTCCATCTCTCACTCTAGAAACTCCATAAGTCAGTCTTAAGTGTTACTGATGATGGAACTGCAGTGTTTGCATTAGTTGAAACTGGACCTGTTACTGGAAAATGTCCTGGTGGACAAGTCCGTGAAGGTTCTCGGTTATCCAGGTCATGGTATAGCTAGTTGTCACATTCTACTGGACATGATCTATATTGTTGAAGGTGCTACATCACTATCTAAGAAGCTTCCTCAGTTCGACTGAGGAAGCTACTTGGACAAGCAGTGAAACATCTATAACATTACAGAATAAGTTGAAGATAAGAGTGCCACGAGAGCAGCTAGTAGTTAGTCCTTCATTCATCTTATTCAAACCATCATGCAATATGTTGATTGTCCAAGAACATGATGGCAATACCAACCAAGGCCAATCAACATCCATGGTGGTAGGATGAAGGTGACTGAGCTAACTGTTAGGATATAAATGCCAGGGTATGTTCCAGACACGGAGAAGGTTGGATTGGACAAGAAGTGAAACATCTTCAACATTACAGAACAAGTCCAGCTGAATGAGACTACTACTACTAGCATTAGCATGACCTGGATCAATTGGAACCTTTAAATACATAGAGTACAAGAATATTTATTTCCTTCTAGAAGTGCAAAGGCAACAATGTCCCCACATCATCAAGGCTTGGGGTGAGAGTGAGACGTCCTCACTCAACCAGTGGTGGATGCACTTTTTTTAGAGGAAAAGATTAAAGCAGCCAACACCCAAGCTGATGCACCCTTATGAGACCTTCAGTCTATTCAAACAAGCACTGGAGGCCCTCATGAGGAAAAGCCCAAAAGGCTTGGCTTGTTACTTTTGGACTTCAGTGATGAAGTAAACCCCTTTGGCCTCCTAAACTTTTGCTGTGGTGGTCATGTTTTTCCTACATCTCCAAGCCAATTTTCAAGCCCCTTTCCAACCAAACAACCAACCAACCTAACTAGAGCCATTATACTGGAGTATGAACTTGAGGAACTGAGAAATGAAACCAACTTTGGATCCCAAGCGTCCTGTCCATACTTTTCTAAAGACCAATACAAACCTGACATGGTCTAACATTCTCAACACAATCCAAAACTAGAAAATAACTCAACTTCTGTTTTAAATTATATAAAACCAGTCCACAATCTCAGCAAGTTAAAGGCCTTCTCATGAGTTTACTGATGTGTTATAAGCACAGGCTGGAAACTACTACAATAGGGGTTAAGGGCAATTCTTAAGGTGGGTTTCCTAATGGTGACAACAGTGGTCCATGCTTGTGTGATGTGTGTCAAAATGGCCACTTGTAGTCTCTATTGGAAGCCTGTGTGACATGTAGGAGAACAATTGGGAGACAGGGACAGGGCATTGTCACCCTATAACAGGAAGTGCCTGAACAACTATGGAGCATTTCCACCCTATAACAGGAAGTCTCTGAACAAGGATAGAGTGTCGTCACCCTATAACAGGAAGTGTCTGAACAAGGACAAAGCATTGTCATCCTATAACAGGAAGTGCCTGAACAAGGACGGAGCACTGTCACTTATAACAGGAAGTGCTTCAACAAGGACAGAGCATTGTCACCCTATAACAGGAAGTGCCTGAACAAGGACAAAGCATTGTCATCCTATAACAGGAAGTGCCTGAACAAGGACGGAGCACTGTCACTTATAACAGGAAGTGCCTGAACAAGGACAGAGCATTGTCACCGTATAACAGGAAGTGCCTGAACAAGGACGGAGCATTGTCACCCTATAACAGGAAGTGCCTGAACAAGGACAGAGCATTGTCACCCTATAACAGGAAGTGCCTGAACAAGGACAGAGCATTGTCACCCTATAACAGGAAGTGCCTGCTCAAAGACCACCATGGCAGAATGAATGTTGCAGATGGAAGCTTCTATGAGATGTTAGTGTTTGGGATTACATCTACTATCATTGACATAGTTGACTTGGAATGATACAGAAACGTTCATCGCGGACGCAGGTTTAGCGATCGTCTGCAGACATTTTATAAACAAAACATTTGATTTTGAGCAAAAAAAAAAAAAAACTTCACAAAAGTGCAAAGCCATAAAGAACTCCCCCCGGTAAGGTCTGTGTTTGTCTTATGAATGGGCCTCTAATGGTCTCCACCATCCTCCTGGCACGCGGCCTCGTTAATTGTCTGTAAGGGACGCCATCATTAACCGAAAACGAGGCGTTTAGGTGTAATGAAAACCTTACGCCGGCTTACAAAAGCCATCAAACACATTAATAGCGATTAAGCAACCCACAGTATCTGCGTTGTTGCATTCTTTTTCTGGTTTGACGCACGGGGGGCTCTTAAAGAAGACGGGAACCCGATCTCATAGAAGCTTCATTCCAAAAGTCATATTCAATCTTCAGCTTTTATTAAAATAATCCCTAGTGATCCCGCCATGAAGGTCGCTTCCTGTTAAAGGGTGACAACGCTCTAGCCTTGTTCATGTACTTCCTGTTATAGGGTGACAATGCTCTGTCCTTCTTCAGACACTTCCTGTTATAGGGTGAACTGAACAAGGACAAAGCATTGTCATCCTATAACAGGACGTGCCTGAACAAGGACGGAGCACTGTCACTTATAACAGGAAGTGCTTCAACAAGGACAGAGCATTGTCACCCTATAACAGGAAGTGCCTGAACAAGGACAAAGCATTGTCATCCTATAACAGGAAGTGCCTGAACAAGGACGGAGCACTGTCACTTATAACAGGAAGTGCCTGAACAAGGACAGAGCATTGTCACCGTATAACAGGAAGTGCCTGAACAAGGACGGAGCATTGTCACCCTATAACAGGAAGTGCCTGAACAAGGACAGAGCATTGTCACCCTATAACAGGAAGTGCCTGAACAAGGACAGAGCATTGTCACCCTATAACAGGAAGTGCCTGAACAAGGACAGAGCATTGTCACCCTATAACAGGAAGTGCCTGCTCAAAGACCACCATGGCAGAATGAATGTTGCAGATGGAAGCTTCTATGAGATGTTAGTGTTTGGGATTACATCTACTATCATTGACATAGTTGACTTGGAATGATACAGAAACGTTCATCGCGGACGCAGGTTTAGCGATCGTCTGCAGACATTTTATAAACAAAACATTTGATTTTGAGCAAAAAAAAAAAAAAACTTCACAAAAGTGCAAAGCCATAAAGAACTCCCCCCGGTAAGGTCTGTGTTTGTCTTATGAATGGGCCTCTAATGGTCTCCACCATCCTCCTGGCACGCGGCCTCGTTAATTGTCTGTAAGGGACGCCATCATTAACCGAAAACGAGGCGTTTAGGTGTAATGAAAACCTTACGCCGGCTTACAAAAGCCATCAAACACATTAATAGCGATTAAGCAACCCACAGTATCTGCGTTGTTGCATTCTTTTTCTGGTTTGACGCACGGGGGGCTCTTAAAGAAGACGGGAACCCGATCTCATAGAAGCTTCATTCCAAAAGTCATATTCAATCTTCAGCTTTTATTAAAATAATCCCTAGTGATCCCGCCATGAAGGTCGCTTCCTGTTAAAGGGTGACAACGCTCTAGCCTTGTTCATGTACTTCCTGTTATAGGGTGACAATGCTCTGTCCTTCTTCAGACACTTCCTGTTATAGGGTGACAATGCTCTGTCCTTCTTCAGACACATCCTGTTATAGGGTGACAATGCTCTGTCCTTGTTCAGACACTTCCTGTTATAGGGTGACAATGTTCTATCCTTGTTCAGACACTTCCTATTATAGCGTGACAATGCTCTGTCCTTGTTCAGGCACTTCCTGTTATAGGGTGACAATGCTCTGTCCTTCTTCAGACACATCCTGTTATAGGGTGACAATGCTCTGTCCTTGTTCAGACACTTCCTGTTATAGGGTGACAATGTTCTATCCTTGTTCAGACACTTCCTATTATAGCGTGACAATGCTCTGTCCTTGTTCAGACACATCCTGTTATAGGGTGACAATGCTCTGTCCTTCTTCAGACACATCCTGTTATAGGGTGACAATGCTCTGTCCTTCTTCAGACACATCCTGTTATAGGGTGACAATGCTCTGTCCTTGTTCAGACACTTCCTATTATAGCGTGACAATGCTCTGTCCTTGTTCAGGCACTTCCTGTTATAGGGTGACAATGCTCTGTCCTTGTTCAGACACTTCCTGTTATAGGGTGACAATGTTCTATCCTTGTTCAGACACTTCCTATTATAGCGTGACAATGCTCTGTCCTTGTTCAGGCACTTCCTGTTATAGGGTGACAATGCTCTGTCCTTGTTCAGATGCTTCTTCTTATATTGTTATAGGGTGACAACGCTCCATCCTTGTTCATTTACTTCCTGTTATGGCGTGACAGCGCTCTGTCCTTGTTCATGCCTTTTTCCATCACAGGGTGAAAACGTTCTGTCCTGTCTGCCAATTGCCCCCTGTGTTGTCACCCTGTCAAACAAGCACCCGAATCCGATGGAGACTACAAGTAGCTATTTCTGCGCACATTACACAGACATGGGGGGGAATTGATCAAAACTGGAGCAGGCAGAATCTGGAGCAGTTGCCCATGGCAACCAATCATCTTCTCTCTTCAGTTTTTTCAGTTAAGATTTGAAAATGAAAGAGAGGAGCTGATTGGTTGCCGTGCACTGCTGCTCCAGATTCCATCTGCTCCAGTTTGGATAATTTCCCTTCAGAGTCTGCTGTTGTCATTATCAGGAAAGCCTCCCTGAGCAATACCATGGAGCCATCACTGGAGTGAATGTAGACAGGAAGTGGCTGCAACAGCGGCGGCACCAGGGTGGGTGTCACCTGGTGCAGCCTCCGCGCATGCGTTGTGACATCCGTGGTGTCACGCACGGTGATGTCCTTCACTGCCAGCAGCCATCTTGGTGACGGATGCCGGCAAAGAGAGGAAGGGATATTGACTTGGCTGGATCAGGTATGCCTCTGGGTACCCCCCTCTCCTTTGTGCTGATGTTGGGCTCTAGACCCATGACCTTCAGTCATTTTGGTGTCACCCCCTCTGATGGTGTCACCAGGTGCAGGCCGCACCCCCTGCACCCTCCTTGTGACGTCACTGGGCTGCAACAAGCATTCAGGAGATCGGCAGCACTGATATGCAAAATGTACAATAAAATCCTTGTTGTCACCTTTATTTCATCTTTGTTACATCCCGGTGCTGTTGATCTCCTGCAGCCACTTCCTGTCCACATGCACGCCATGATCTCTAAGGTGGAGCTGGGATTTTAATGCCGGCTGAACCTAGAAGTAAAGTTTCTGAATGGTGCTGCTCCTGTGCTTGGCCATGACACTAAC